ATTATTGATCGTCGCTCTTAGCCAATCAAAATCAAGAGATCGTCGCTCATAGCCAATCAAAATCAAGAATCATCCGTAGGTTCAATTAGTTACATAGAGTTGTGATTTTTCATGTTACACCCGATCTTATAATCTGATTGGTTAAATCATGTCGATCGGCAATGCAACCGATTTTAGATGAATCATGTGATAACCTTTTAAAGATTCTATTTTTTTGTATACGAAGAAATCCCATAAATGAGCAGAACGTTTCACGACATTTTAGATTGCTATATATATCGGCTTTTACACATACTTACGTATCAGTATACATTAAAATTAAACTCATCTTTAAAAATGATATCCCTACCGAGCGAATTACTTTTTATTATATTTAATAATTTCAATACTCATTATAAAAGCTTATTTTCATGTCTTCTTGTAAATCGCCAATGGTGTAGAATAGTTGTACCAATACTATGGAGCGAACCAACAAACTATATTAGCGATGAAAGACTTATAAAAATATATCTTTTAACGTTAAATACTGAAGAAAAGGCACCATTAATCCCTTTTAAAATTAACATAAACATTCCAAATTATCCAAAATCACTATTTGAATACGCGAGTTATACTATATCTATTGGCGATGGTTTACATAATGGAATCAAAAATTGGATTCGTTATGAACATTATAATGGAGATCATAACAAACTTGATAAGCTTGTAAACACCATCACATGTTCTTTGATTGCAATGTTCTTACGAATAAGTCATAAGCTTAAATACTTAAAACTTGGCGAAATGATTTACAATAAAATGATTTTTGAAAATCTTTATAAAAACACAACTGTTATCTCTATTGATTATAAGATCAAAAATGATTTTGAATTCAAGGAAATAGTAAAGATCCTTTGCAAGAATGCCATTCTGACTTCTTTAAATCTTAGTTATAGTCAACTTAGTTCTGTAAAAAGAAAAGAATTAGCAAAAGTTCTTTGCAAGAACACTACCCTGAATTCCTTGAATCTTAGTAATAATAATTTCGGTTCAGAAAGGGGAAAAACGTTAGCAGAAATTCTTTTAAAGAATACTGTTTTGACTTATTTGAATCTTAGCTACAATGAAATTTGTTCTGAAGGAGGGAAAGCGTTAGCAGATGCACTATGCAAGAATACTACTTTGACTTCTCTGGATCTTAGCTATAATCATCTTAATTCTACTGTAGCTTCGACTTTTTGGAATCGTAGATCTAATGTCATTACTTCTGAAGGAATAAAAGCATTAGCAGAAGCTCTATGCAAAAACACTACACTAATTTCTTTAAATCTTAGTACAAATAATCTTCATTTTGAAGGAGGAAACGCATTAGCAGATGCTTTATGCAAAAACACTACTCTGACTTCTTTAAATCTTGGCGTTAATAATATTTATTCTGAAGGAGGGAAGGCATTAGCAGATGCTTTATGCAAGAACACTACTTTGACTTCCTTAGATCTTAGCTGTAATAGTCTTAATATTGCGAGAGGAAATCTAACTTTTTTAGATCTTAGCTATAATAACATTACTTCTGAAGGAGTGAAAGCATTAGCAGAAGTTTTATGCACTAACACTACTTTAACTTCTTTAGATCTTGGTGATAATTATATTCATTGTGAAGGAGGAAAAGCATTTGCAAATGCTTTATGCAAGAACACTACTCTAACTTCTTTAAATCTTAGATATAATAGTATTGGTTCTGTTGGAGGGAAAGCATTAGCAGAAGCTTTATGCAAAAACAGTACCCTAACTTCTTTAGACCTTTGTAATAATCGTATTGGTTCTGAAGGAGGAAAAGCATTTGCAGAGGCTTTATGCAAAAACACTGCTCTAACGTCTTTAGATCTTTGTAATAATAGTATTGATTCTGAAGGAGGAAAAGCATTTGCAAAGGCTTTATGCAAAAACACTACTCTAACTTCTTTAAATATTAGCTATAACGATATCGATTGTGAAGAGAGGAAAACATTAGTAGATGTTCTATGCAAGAACACTACGCTAACTTCTTTGGATCTTAGCTACAATGATATTAATTCTGAAGATGAGAGAATTAATGCATATTTTCGTTTTTTTTGTCCTTGTCAATATTATAATTTCTGAATAGAAAAGCATTACCAAAAGCTCTACGCATGAACAATATTTTGACTTCTCTAAACCTGAAATTTGTTCCGAAGATGTGGAAGCATTAACAAAAGATTTATACTGAACGTTTATTTTTTTGAATCTTAGCCATAAAACAATTTATTGAAGGAAGGGAAGCATTAGCAAGGACTCTTTGCATAAACTTTTCCCTAAATTCCTTGGATTTTATCCATAATCGAAATTGGTTTAATGAGATATTCCTTTAATTTTTTCGAATCTTAATTGCAATCCACTTCACTTTATTAAAATCAAAATTTACATATTGTTCATTAAAAACGGCAAAGAAATGACTGATTTTAAGTAGAATAGATATTATACTGTATTAATTACTGTCACGGATTATCGTGAAATCGGATTATCGTGAAATTTGGGGTCTCAATTTGAAAATATAAGCCCTACCAAAATCCCCCTATACTCTTTTATTAATAATTCTAACCCTAAATCCTAGCTTAACTATAAAAAAAAAGCCTACAAAAAAGGCCCTAAAAATTTTTAAAAATCGTACATAAAATAGATCCAAATTTCACGATAATCCGTTCCTACTAAAATCTGATTTGCTGTTATATTAAATTTCACCAGTTTCACCAGTTTCACCAGCATCTATAATTCCTACCTGTAATTCTGCCCATGCCCACTGTGCCCCGTGATTGGCCCATCATCATAAATGAAATGTTCGATAATAAAATATCGATATCCGGGTTTCTACATTAAATTAAATGTTACAATGTCTTCAGCAAACAACGATATAACACTCCCACATTCCTCTTCCACCTCCTCTTTAAGCCCGCCTCTTTCTGAGAACACTGCACCTCAAACCCCCATAAATCCTGCTACAATTCTTGAAAAATATAAGGGAAAGAAAGACTCGAATAAAGGTGGTTATTTGATATTTCGCTTCAGACTATTTGTATTGTTGCGGCTCAATTTTATTAACGATGATTTCATTTCCAAATTAAAAAAGTTGTTGTACGTTTTAGGGCTATAGGCAACGCACCGATTCTGAAACAACCTTTTTTTAAAATAACTGCCTCCAATAAATTTCAAGTCGTGATCCAATTTCTAAGAACCCAGCTTAACTATAAAGCATCAGATCCTTTGGTAACTTTGATTTGATTTTTAGCCAATAATCAAAATTATATTTCTGACATTCTGATTTTTTCTTTGATTATTTATTTAAATAGTTCTTATATGTAAATAGTGCTTTCTCTCCGGCTCCCGATGAGATTGTGTCAAATTTGCACAAGGTACGTCAGATGCGATTTCGGTTGATTTTTTATCTTAAATATTACATTTTTAATTTATGCTTTTCTCAATAGTGTTTTAATACAGATGGACATCTTATAATAAATTATTGTACAAGTGCGGCATGGGGTTAGTGAATGCTAAAATATAATATATAATATATATAGATTACTTTTTATCGTTAAACATTTCGCTTAATAATAATAATAATGAAAATTCAAACTTCGAGAAAATAATAATTCCGTAAAAATATTTAAAAATGTCATATACTATAGCATTTAAATAAATTACAAGGTTCCTAATTGAAATCTTTTTATTCCATGAATCATTTTAAAGATAAGGCCTCATTATGCGTTTTCGAAATTAGCGCCTAAATAACCTATCATTTAACTACTCATTTAACTACATTAATGCCGAAGAATGTTTTAATGTTTAGAATATGTTAATGCTAACATAAGTTGCAAAAAAATGAAATGTAAAAATCAAACTTTTAATATAATGACAATTTTTAATTAGGTAAGAGTGTATTTTGGACCATCGCCACCTTCAGGCGTAACCCAGTCAATATTTTGAGAAACGTCTTTAATGTCACATGTTTTACAATGCACACAATTTTGCGAATTAATTTGCAGGCGCTTTTCACCCGGATTAGTTTCATCATCGACAAATTCATAAACACCAGCTTGACGTATTAATGAAATGATTGAATTGTAAGAATGTGTCGTTTAAGTTAAAAAATTCGACATAACATTTTTTACCTGGACAGAATCTTGATTCCGGACCACCGAATATTTTTAAATTTCGTTCAACTGGTATATTCATATCTCTTACCCTTAAATGTACTGGTTGATTTTCGGCATGATTTGTTCCACTTCGAGAAACACTTTCAAGAAGGTCAAACGATATCATACCGTCTGATTTAGGATATTCTATCGGTTTGCATTCTCTGAGTTATATTAAATAACAAATTAGAAATATCCAATTTACAAAATTCAACAAATAGAATTATTAAATAAGTTACTTGGCAGGCTTCAGAGAAGCATAATCCGAATGATGTTTGAATGTCCATGGGATACGGCCCTTTAAAAACATCATGTCGAAGCCAGAATATAAGAGACATCCCCACAATCCTAATGGACTATTGAATGACGGTCTAATGTTCCTAATTTTGTATAATTCTTTATACACCCATGAATCTTCAATAGAATTTTCATAAGCAGTAAGGGTTATAGGTCCAGACTCGGATTTGTTAGATGTAATAGCGTCATATGCTGCCTCTGCGGCAAGCATTCCAGATTTCATTGCAGTGTGCGTTCCCTTGATTTTAGGAACGTTCATAAATCCAGCAGTGCAGCCAATAAGAGCTCCGCCAGGGAATATCAGTTTAGGGATTGACTAAAGAAATAATAACGTCAGGAAAAAAAAACTAACTATCACATAAACCAACTGAATGTATAGCAACAAAAAGCTTGTATACCTGATATCCACCTTCATTAAGTGCTCGTGCACCATATGCAATGCATTTACCTCCTTCTAGAAATTTCTTAATATACGGGTGCATCTTGTATTTCTGTGGCAATGTCATCCATCATTTAAATAACTACAATTAGTAAAATCTGTCAGGCAATTAAAGATGAATTGGAAATATTGTAATTGCAAGCTCAGATATATTGTTCATACTATTGACCTGGAATTCTTTATATGGGTTTAGATATGGATTTTTATAATCTAAAGCCACTACAAGCCCTATTTGCACAATGTTATCTTCCATGTGGTACATGAAGCCACCCCCGTATGTTTTGAAATCCAATGGATATCCCAGTGAATGGAAAACCAACCCAGGTATGCGTTTTTCTGGAGCAATCTCCCATACTTCTTTAATACCAATCCCGTACGTTTGAGGTTGTCGGCATTCACGAAGATTGAATTTTCTTATCAACGTCTTGGTAAGCGACCCATGACATCCCTCGGCAAAAAGAGTAACCTTGGCTTTGAATTTCATACCACGCTCGAAATTATCCTTTGGTTTAAAATTTTTATCAAGGCCCATGTCATTTGTAGCGATGCCACATACACTACCGTCATCGTTGTACAAAACCTATTCGATTAAAAACGCGTGGTTACTTACATAGGCTAAAGTTTAGGCAGTTATTATGTAAAACCTAACCTCACTTGCGGCAAAACCTGGATATATCTCGACGTCGGCGTCTTCAGCTTGTTTACCCAACCATTTCACAAAATTATTCAAGCTGATTATGTAATTGCCCTTGTTAGACATCTGAGATAAATGAGGAAGAGGGTATGAACTTTTCTCAGTCAATAATCGCAAAGAATCTTTAAGTGCCGGTTGATTAAGAGGAGCATTTCGGTCTTTCCAGTCAGGAATAAGTTCGTTAAGAGCTCGTGGCTCAAGTACAGCACCAGAAAGTGTATGTGCACCTGTATGTTAAATAATAATAGTTGGACTTTACAAAAAAGAAAAATATATTACTAGTATAAAATCGAGAAATTTTATGTGCCTAATTCGCTCGCTTTTTCGATTACAATCACCCTGATCTCCTTTCCTTCGCGATTTGCGAGTTGCTTCAGGCGAATGGCAGCTGATAAGCCTGCAGGACCAGCACCAATTATCACAACATCTGTTTCTTCTTCTACCCTATCAGCAACTAAACGTGGATCGACCGCCTGGTTAGTGACTGAAGCAAATCGCAAAGAGGATGTAGTCAATAAACGACGAGACGGTACATAAGAAGAAATTGAAGAAATAAACCGAGAAAGGTGTAGATAAGTCATGTTCAATTATACTGCATCAAAGAGGAATCTTGAAATTATCAGATTATCATGGTCTTTAACAAACCGAAATTACAGATTATCATGATCTTTAAAAGACAGAAATTATCAGATTATCAGACTATATACATTTACTAATTTCCCCCCCAAATTTCTATTGGCTGGGATTATTCGCACCAATTTACATATCACTTTCTATTTAAAATGTGACACTTTTTAAGTTAGGGCTTGGGGTTAGCGTTAATGAACAAGAATTTTTTTTGTTAGTGCCCAAAAGGTGATTTCTTAGGCGAAATTTTGAAATAAATGTGACTTTTCGAAAAAAAGC